CGGGTTATCAGTAGTACAAACATGCAATATTTTCCCAACTTTCTCCCTGAGCTGCTGAGGAGTGTTTTGACTGAAGTAGATACTTGATTTTTCAAAATTCACCACCTGCCCTGAGGCTTGACAATAGGACTTCAATATCCTTTCAATGGCAGTACAATTTTCCTCCGTGACCTTTAAAAACAGAAGAGAATCATCGGCAAAAAATAAATGGGATAGAGTAGGACCATCTTCTCTAAACTTGATCCCTTGGACTATGCCCCTCTCCACCGCTTTATTTAGCATTGAGGATAGGACATCGCTGACCAGGATGAAGATATACGGAGAAATAGGGTCTCCCTGTCTAATACCCCTGGTGGGCTTGAAAGGGGATCCAGCTTTTCCATTTAGAAGCACAGCGAATCGGACTGAGGTGATACATCTCATAACCAGGCGCACCCAAGTACAGTTGAACCCCAATTTGTGCAACACTTCTTCCACAAAATCCCACTCAATTCTGTCGTAGGCCTTATTCATATCTAGTTTGAGACCCATCTGATACACCTTTGTCTTTTTCCGCAATTTCAAGGCATGGAAAGCCTCATGAGCTATCAAAATGTTGTCTTGAATTTGTCTTCCGGGAATAAAGGCACTCTGTTGGGGGGAAATAATTTCAGCTAGAATTGGCTTCAACCGGTTTGCAAGGATCTTTGAGATGATCTTGTAAGAGAAATTACATAAAGCTATAGGCCGGAATTGGGTAACAACTTCTGGGATTGGGACTTTTGGTATTAAAGCAATCTGTGTCATGTTTAAACTATGAACTGAAGAAACCCCTTTGAAAAAGTCTTTGACCAACCTGCAAACATCCCCACCTACTGTTTCCCAATAATTGTGGTAGAAAATTCCAGAAAATCCGTCAGGGCCGGGCGCCTTGTTTGCTCCCAACTGGAGAGCAGCCTCCTTTATCTCCTCATCTGACAGCGGCTTACATAGGTCAGCATTCATCTGTTTAGTTATCACAGGTGTTATACAAGCCAGAACATTCCCCCATTCTCTTTTACCCCCAGCTGAGAAAATGCCTTTAAAGTAGTCTTCAAAAACCATTCGAACTTGATCAACATTTTCCCCCCATACTCCATTCACATCTTTAATCCTGCTAATTTTATTTCTCCTCCTTCGTTGGAGGGTGCAATGATGGAAAAAAGCCGTGTTGGAGTCTCCTGCCTTTAGCCATTGAATCCTTGATCTTTGTTTCCAGAAGCTCTCCTCTTGCCTCCATGTCTCCTTAAGCTCAGAGTTAACCTGCTCAATCCTTCTTTCATTTGCTTCCCAGTCCTGCTGTAACAACTCAAGTTTATTTTTAAGCTTTTCAGCTTTCATCCTGGCATTTGAATATTTACCTCTGCTCCACTTCTTTAACTCATATCTGCATCTTCTTTGTTTTTTGTTCCAGTAAGTCTCGATACCCCCCCTACTATCCATGTTCCAGCTTCTATGAACCACCTCTCCACATTCTGGATCAGTGACCCAATGAGCTTCAAATTTAAAAGGACGAGACGCCTTTTCCTGTTTTCCTTCAGATAAAACCAGAATCGGACAATGGTCTGAGCCCACACTCGGGAGATGAATAGCTATAGTACTTGGCCAAAGCTCCTGCCAATTCGAGTTAATCAGCCCTCTATCAAGTCGTTCCTGGATCAACACCCCTTCTGCCCTGCGCCCTCTCCAAGTGAACGCCTGCCCTTGGAACCCCATATCCATTAGATATTTCTGATTCATAAATTCCTGGAGATATCTTCTACTCTTGGGATTAAAAGCCCTTCCCCCTTTTTTCTCAAATTCCCACATTATTTCGTTGAAATCTCCAATACACATCCACGGTAACACTCCGGGATACAAGCAGTTACTGAGCCATCTCCAGAAGTCCCCCTTTTCTTCATTATAAGGGGTACCATATATCCAGGAGATCCGCCAAACTCTTTCCCCATCTTTATCCTTTACCTCAGTGTCGATTAAATTTTTTGAAGAAACCAGAACCTGAACCTCCACGCTGCTGTCCCACCAAAGTCCCAATCCACCAGCTTGACCAAGCGAATCCACACAGAAACTTCCCTGAAAACCCATCTCTTGACTCATCTTCTTCAGTCTATCGTGATTCGCTTTTGTTTCCATAAGAAACACAATAGAGGGTCTGTTTCTTTTAATAATCTCCTTTAGAGATCGAATTGTCAGGTCCGACCCAAGCCCCTGACAATTCCAGGATAAGTAACTCATGGCGATCTTGCGGCTGTTGTAGGCCAGCCGCCACCGCCTTTTCCCGATTCATTAACCTCATTTTCTCGTGTCAGAGGGCTTCCCTTACTCAGCTCTTCAGCCACACCAACATGGATCTCTGTTAAACCTTCCTCAGAAAATTCCTCATGAGATAACCTTTCTGATTCCACTGCATGCTTTGGCTTTCTTGCGCTTGGGAAATTCCTCCTCAGTCTTCTGTTTCCTTCTTGAAATTGCCTTGTCTCTTGCCTCTCGCTTTGAGACTTTGCCCTTTTAATTTCGTTCTTACTCTTTTGCCACCCCGGGTCAGCATCTCTTTTAATCCCCATTCTGATAAAGGCCTCATCAACTTCTTTATGTTGGATCTGGTAAGTAGAGGCAGGAATGGTATCAAAAGGGCTATTAAAGTTTGGCTCAATGGCAGTTTCGTTTCTGAAGTCCAAAGTCTCCTCACTTTGCCTCCTCTCTGATGGACCCAAAACAGCCCAATCAGTAACATAGTGTTTTCCAAAGGCAATTTGGGTCTTTGCCCATTGTAGCCTCTCCTCAAAAGGGATTGGTCCCACTCTCCCTGTGGGCCAAGGCCAATGACTCTGACAGTTTTCCTCCACTAAAATAACCCTCCCCCTTTCTTCAGTAGTGTCCACTCTGCCCCCCTCAGAGTTCCAATTATAAATTTGCAAAGCAGCATTTAAATTTGAAGGAATATCAACTTCTTTACCTTTTGCTTTGGACCCACCGCTTTGGTGACTTGAACTATCTGCAAAAAGATCTGTGGCCGCAGGGATATCTGTAGCAGCAGCGGTATGGCAGTGAAGAGACGACTCTTGTTGTGTCAGGACATTTTCCAAAACCGCTTGGTTTGCGGGAGCTGGTGGTTGAGTGCTATGGGACGTTCCACTACTTTCATCTCCAAATTGGCCAACACGCGCCACCAGAACCCCTGGTCTGACCACCCCTATTTGACCCGCTCTCCTTCGAACTCCTCTTGGAACATGTGTGCTTATCGGTGGCCTATTGTCACGGATTGCCCTGGCTTTCATCCACTCCCCAAATGCTGCTTGTTCTGAAATTCCGGATTGACTTCCACTGGAGCTGCAGCTTCTCTGAAGGTGACCAAGCTTGCCACAGATAAAACAGAAATCCGACAGTCGCTCAAACTTAAATTCCACCCATGTATTCTGCCCTTCAGCACGAGGGAGCCAGAATCCCTGAGGAAGAGGGTTATTGCTATCGATCATAACTCTCATTCGTAGAAAGCCTCTGGAGCCTTTTTCCCAAGGATCTTCTACTTCTTTAACCTCTCCCAACTTTTCGCCAATTTCTAAAGCATTTCCTGCAGTGAGAAGATTTAAGGGGATCCCATGAGCTTGTATCCAGTAAGCCACCTTATGGAGCGGGAGTTCCTCAATGGCCAAATTGCTTGGCCAACGTTGAGCATTAAAACAGAACCCCATTACAGACCAGGGGCCATCACTGATTATCTGGTCAGCCATACCTTCATCTTGGACCACCACCGTGAAAAGATTACCCTTTATGTGAGAAATTTTTGCTTCTCCATATATAGCCCACGCATTCCGGAGAATGGTTTTTATGGCTCCTCTGTTTGGGATTTTGTCTGCTATGATTGCTCCTGCCAGTTTTGGTCCACTCTCAAGATTTGATATTCCCAGTGATTCTTCCAGCCTTATTACCAGATCCTCCGCACGTGTATCTGCCATGGTAACCTTCTGTCTTCCGAAATGAGCAACAGAGAGAGCAGCCGTCGTGAAAGTGTTTCTTTGTTGGTCGCTAGCAGGTGGGCTCCAAAAAGACAGAAATTTTTTGTTGTTGTGGATCTGATAGACCCAGTAGAGAGACCAAATGACTAGAAATACTTTCCATAGCAACAACATCAGGTTCCCAATACTCACCTTTACTCCTCTTGAGAATAGTGGTTGGGCAGCATTTACTCTCCCCCCCGAAATGTCCTCTCCGGATCTGCAATTGTCAGAGCTCAACTTCTCCTCTTTGGATTTCTTCCCAAAAAGACTGATCACCTTGATCGATCGTTGACTTCCAATGACTATAAATACTCCCCATAGGATCAACTTCAGATAACCTAAACTCCTCATTACTCCTCTTGATCCCAGTGGTTGGACAGCATTTACTCCCCCCATCCAACCTTCCGCCAGTCTACAAAAGTCAGAGATCTGCCTCTCATCTTTGGATTTCTTCCCAAAAGGATTTGGCTCCTTTAAACTTTTAATCCTTTTGTTTTTCGACAAACTTGCTCGGATTCCACGGACCAATTTTTGTGTCAGTAAAGAATTCTCACACTGGGGTGAGGGTGCTCCCATTTTAGAGAGAGAGGCTCTCAAAATAGAGAGAGAATTGAGCACCTAGCTTTGATTTGAATGGGAAACATGATGTTTTCTGTAACTTTTCACATAATTATATAGAACAAATTCATGAGAATCAAGACAGTCTGCAATTGCAAATTGTTTACAATTGTTAGAAACCTTGACTCATATAAACAATATAATATCATTACTTCCTCTAACTGTGAAAGATACCTCAAAAATTACCCTCAGCTCTTCTTGATGATAAGGCTATGTATATTAAATTTCAGGACAATACAAAATACATAAATCTTTCAACTCACATGGTTCGTTTATAATACTACTCTATACTTATTTAGTATACGAACTTGAAGCTACTTGTATTGTATACCCTAAAAAGATTCAATATCTGATTATTGGAACCAGGCCTTTCTTGTTGGGAAAGATTTTGGAGCTTTGCCTGCATACCTAGTAGCTGCTCTCCACCCAGAGCGGGTATCCGGCGTCATAACCCTAGGTATTCCTTTCATCCAACCAGGCCCCTCTGCTGTCCAAAATCATCTCCTCCCTGAAGGCTTCTACATATCAAGGTGGCAGGTACATTCATTTTGCCATCAACATCTTCAGTTTCAGGACAAAGCTTTTTCCCAACTCTGTTCTAATCATTACAAGGTTTGACTACGATAATACTGCTAATTAAATTCTTACCTAACTCCAGGAGCCGGTGGGGCGCGCAGAAGCAGATTTCAGCCGCTTTGATGTTAAGACGGTGATAAGGAACATCTACATTCTGTTCTCTAGAAGTGAGATTCCAATAGCTGCTGCTGATCAAGAAATCATGGATTTGTTTGACCCTGCAACTCCTCTACCACCATGGTTTTCTGAGGAAGATCTCTCAGTCTATGCATCTTTGTATGAGAAATCTGGATTCCGTTATCCTTTGCGAGTTCCTTACAGGTAGGTAACAAGAAATAAAACGTTTCGCTAGAGGAAGCATATAATCTAGTTCTATCTAAAATGCAATATATGCCTAAATATCATTTCACTAGAGGTCCTTTATTGTTGCAGAACTTTGGCAGTAGATTGCGGTTTAACTGATCCAAAAGTCTCAGCTCCATCACTGCTTATCGTGGGTGAGAAGGACTACGTCTTAAAATTTCCGGGGATCGAAGACTACATACGGACTGGGGCGGTGAAGCATTTCGTGCCTGATCTGGAAATTAGATATATGGCAGAAGGAAATCATTTTGTGCATGAACAGTTTCCAGAGCAAGTCAATCAGCTAATCATCTCCTTCCTTGACAAACATGGCATCTGATGTAGATGCGCAATGTGTAAGGGAATAAATAATCCATGAGAGAAACAATATGTACTGTTTAACTGGCTGGGTGTTGCATTACATATTTGCCCCACAAATTTGATGTGCTTAACTATTTTGCTATAATAAATTACATGACGTATGCTTTTCATTGGAGAAAATATTAACCACCCATAATACAGATCCCAAACTTAATCTGTTAAAATAGCCTACAATTAATTGTGAAATGAGAAGTTGTGCTCCATTATCCTAAGAGCATGGTTGTTCAATAGTTGAATGCAAAAGTTCAATTAATTGAAATATTTTGGCATCTATTGAATTGGAGCATTTTTGCTCACCGCTTTAATCAAAGATGTATGCTCATCACCACCCTTAAACAGTGACACTTGTCCCATTGTTAACCTTAATTAACATTTATGTCAAAATAAAATATAAAATAAAAAAGGGCCCACAACCTAGGACACATCTCCTCTTTCCTTCTGAGTCCACTTCTGTCGAGAGTTCTTCCCCATGGTTGTTTAACTTCCGCTGAGAAATGAAAAACTTGTTTTTGTTGATTAAAAAGTACAATTGGAAAGAAATCGAGATAGAAATCCAGCGACGGTGAGAGTGGGTAACGATTTCATCGGAATCTGACGGTTCAGATTGCCGGCGAGAGAGAGCGGAGGAAAATGGCGGTTTGATATGCATATGAGAGGGGTTTTGGGACGGACGAGACGGTAGACTCAAAGGGGTTTCTAATTGATGTGAAATGACCAGATCACCCTCGTTCAGTTTCCCGGGTTACTTGTTGCCTTGTTGGTTTGCCACGTCAGGTTCGGCCATGCCCAACTGGAGGGAACACATTGCCAAATTTTGCACACTACCATCACTTTTGGGCCACCCAACGAGCCCAATTCTTGGGTTTGAAGTTTATTTGGGCCTCACAACGAGCCCAATCCTTTGGCCACTCTATATTGGAAGAAAGTCTTAGGTTCGACTGCCCTATACGGCAACACACTCCCAAATAAACGAGACCGATACATGAGTGTCTCATCTACGAGTAATTTTTGAGTGTTCCCGGTACACCACGTGGTTGGTGTATCATCCAAAAGACGGAAGACATATGGAATATGTTCAATGCAGTCTGCCACATGTCATAAGAAGAAATGCAGTAAGTTGGATAACAATTCCACATGTTCTATGTTTATTGGATGGTACACCAGACACGTGGTGTACCTGGAACATTTAAAAATTTCTCCTTGTCAGCCGATAAAAACAAGCTCTAAAGTATTCAAACCCCATCTAGAATTCATGCACAAGGAATCAGTTTTGAGAAGAAGATCTTGGCGACAAACTGGTTCATCTATCTTGGCAGGATCAATGGCTTATATTCAAGGTTAATATTTTAATATATGCAGCCTATATGGTTTAACAGGTCAGTTGTACTTGTAGGCAAACATGTGTCCCTCATTTTGAGGGAATTATGTGCTGGTGGAATATTTGTGGGCTAATTGGTCCTTTTGAGTAAGCAGTGCGTGGGCTTTTAGGCGAAGCGCGTGGGCACTGGGGCACGCTAAGGGTGGTGTGTTCCACGCTTTGTACCTATAGGACCGAACCCATGAATTAGACAGGCCTAGTCTGCCCCATTATTCATTGGGCCTCCTTAGCGTACAATAATGGGCTTTTTGGGCCTTGTTTTAGCCTTTTGGGCCTTTTCACGTTCTTAAGTGGCGAGGGCTGGCTATTGGGCTCTTTTTATCAGGCACTGGTCGTATTGGGTATCAATAGTATACAACTCCCTTTGTATTACATTCTAACTCTGCTCTTTGGTAGGGATGACAATGGGTCGAATCGGGGGTGGGTATGCTATTCTCATCCCCATCCCTCTTAAGCTTTTTCCCCCATCCCCACCTTCATATCCTCAATATTCATATCGGGGATTCCTCATCTCCACCTTCGTTAGGGAATGGATTCCCTGACCTGCCCCAACAAGGAAGAAAAAATCAATATATAACTACTTTGTTGAAGAAAACAAAATACTAAAGCAAGATAATGAATATATATATATACAGTTATTCTCTTATCCGGATGTTCGCACGTTATTATCGTGTGGATCCTATTGTAAACAGGCAGGAAAACAGAGAGGGGTAATACAAAATACACGGCGTCCGCACGATAATAATGTCCGGATGTCCACATAAGAGAATTTCTGTATATATATATATAATACATACTTACAAGACAATATAAGAATATTTATATATATATATTGGAAGTTAACTAAACAAATAAGTGTTAGAAATGTGCCCTAAGAGCCAATACATTTGATGTAATCTCCTTAGAATACATTTCGTATATGATATATAAAGGGCAAACTTAATTTGTTATCTTTTACATCGTGTAAAGAAACAAATGTCCAGGGTATGCTAAATAAGAGATAAAGTAATCTAAAGAAGATTAGATTCATGAGACCTTTAATCTCTAATTGTAGTATCCCAAAATGTTCCTAATCATAGGTTATCAAATGGGCATTGATAAACCGTCAAGATTAGCGCATATTATGTATGCTCAATTGGGAGGATGGTTAGTCTCAAACCATTTGTGTAGTTGACACTAATACAAGTATGTGGGTGCTCATTAGTGAATGAGTACACTGAACGCGATCAACCGTAGTTCTCATATGGAGTATTTATCTACATGTCAAATGAGAACTCATAGTTGCAATAATGCAAATTAGTCCCAAGACCTGAGGCATCATGGTTGTCTTGTGATGCGTTATTGATCTTTGATAGCTCTTAAAGGCAAGCCGTAAAAGATTTGTCTTAAGTGTTGTTGGGATCTCTTAATTCATCATAGGGGCATGTGAATGTACAATAAGGAATCTCTACTTTCGATAAAGAAGGAGAATGTTTCAAGATGTGATTCAGTAAATCTTTGGCCAAAGTATTTTGAGCTTGATTTAGAAAGTTGTTCTTAATCATGTTCTTTTGAATCACATGAGGTTATAAATCATATTAGGGGTTTGACATAAACAATCCGTACCCTAATAATATGATTTGAAACATTGTATAAGAGAAGGACCGTATTGCATTGCAATTCCAACCGAATAGGTTCTTCATCTATTCTGGTTAGCTTGGGTAGCCTTGATATATTGCTAGATGTCACTCTTGGCTTGTGGAAGCCCTAGGATTGATTGTGATCGATCCAAATAAAGGAAAAATTAAAAAGGGGTTTTAATTCCAGTTGGTTAGAAAAAGTTCTAATATTTTCCCACTGCCTTGCTAATTAGAACCCAATGGATCGCACACCTTAAATGGTTAACTTTGAATAATACAAATGAGAATGAGGAAATCAATTTGATTGATTTGATGTGGATGATCTACTACGTGTAAAAACGTATTTGGGCTAAGTAATAGTTAACGGAAAGCCCAAATGGTTGGGTATCAAGCCCAAGGGCTTAAGACACCTAAAGATTATGGTTTAAGTGTCATAAGGCCCAATTTTGGAAGCCCAATGGGGTTTGGCCGAAAATGATTAAGTGAATGTGTATGGGAATTGTTTCCATAAGCTAATTAACACACAAACACAATCCAACATCAACCAAATGGGTTTGGAAGATCAAAGAGAAAAAAAAGAGAGTTTTCAAGAGTGAAACACTTTCATCTTTCAAAGGGGTTTAGATTGAAACCAATCTTGAGAATCTTGCACTAGCATCCAAGTATTCTCAAGATACTTATTCTCATCTCAAGGTTCCATCGGTGTGGAGACTTAGAGGCCATATACTTTTGTGGCTCACAAGGAGGAGAAAGATCAAGAGGAGATCAACAAAGGAAAATCATCAAGAGAAGACCAAAACACAACTTGGTTCATATAATTGCTTCAAGGGTAATTAGATCTTATATTTTCTCTTGAATTTTCATTTATGAAAAACATATCAATGTTCATGGCTTAAGATACTTGGAAGAAGTTTTGTTTTGAATTTAAACAACCACCTTAGACTTCCGCTGCGATTAATTTGATTAAATGCATGTTTAATATTCAAATGAACTTTGAAAAAATGTTTTGAAATTCCTACAATATCATCCAATATTCTACACATCAAAAGCTCTCCTCGTTGTAGAGACTCACTATCCAAAAATGGAGAGACTTATTTTGTCACTTATAGTTTCTGCAAGAAAGTTGAGACCCTACTACCAAGCTCACTGAATCATCATCATGAGATAATTTCCTTTGAGATCGAATTCTTCATAGTCCCAATGCTTCTTAGCGACTCATGAAGTGGGCTATTGAATTAAGTCAGTATGACCTCCTCTATAGGCCGAAGACTGCTATAAAAACCCAAGATTTAGCAGATTTCATTGCAAAATTCACTTCATCAACCGAAGAAAAGAAGATAGTTAAAAGACCAAGGAAAGTTCGAGAGCAGATGAGACCTCCTCC